ATTTGATTACTTTAATTTCTGTAGTCTTCATTGTAAAAATTAAATACAGATTAATGCTTACCATTAAAGTTATAAAACATATTCAGTCAAGTGCAGAAAGTGATTTTCTTTGTCTTTTGTTCTTTCATTAACATGACAGACAGCAGTAGGTGATTTGAAAAAGGTTACAGAGTCACCATAATTAAACTTCATTATGAAAAGGCACTCAAAATAGCCATGACTTGTTGAGACTGCGATGAAGGATATTTACAGCCCGACCTCAGTCAGACAGTCAATCACAGCTGTATCCATGAGTGAAATACAGGGCTGTCATCGGAAGTAGGCAGCACAGTGGCACTCATGGAATGTCACCTCCATTTTGTGATACTCCCAGACTTTATGAGTTAAAGGTGGTCGCAACTGAACTGATGAACAATGCGAAGCATGCAATGTCACACCACAGCCAACCTGGCGTCAGCTTCAAACCCGTGCTTATTCACTATTGATTCAGCCAAGGCTCTGGGTCACAACCTGTGGCGCCAAACCCTGAGCGGCCTCTTATTTATGCCAGTGCGGAGGAGAGGAGAGAAATATAATGGCGACACTCCATAAAGCAAATTATAGATGCGGCTGCCTGCTGGCTTTGTTGTCACGGCAATGTGATGCATGGGCTTTATGATGTCAGCGAGGACCTTCTCTAATAGGAGGCGATATCTGGCCACTTCGTTTCGGGGAGCGGATGACTAAGCATTTTCTGTAATGACTTGCGGCCTGAGTCAGGTTGTATTGGTGTTCTGTCAAGTCACAGCCAGAAGCTCCACTGCCTCTAAACAGATCATTTAATCAGACCAGATCACGGCCGCTCCTGCCATTACATACCTGTTCAGGGTTGTACTTGGAGAGGACACCATTTCCATGAAACTCTTCCAGGACATCTTTAAGCTTCTTGGAGGAATCTGTGCAAAAAAACAAAAAAAAAAAACAATTAAAAGGAAAACATTTAGTCAGATATACAGGTGCACTTATCAGTGTAGATACTTCTTCCAGTATTGCAATTAGAGATGCACCGATTGCAATTTTCTTGGCCAATTCCGATTTC